CCCGACGGCCTCCTGGGTAGTTTAGTCCAGCTGGGCCCAAACCGGGCAGGGAAACATGGCGCCGGCTTACGATGAGAGGAGCGGATGACGGGCTGAGCCTGGACTCCGGGTAGAATTCCTGGGTTTCCTTCCCACATTTTCGGCCCCTGGGCTGGGCTGTGGTAACCCTAGAGCCTGGTCGCGCGTCATCGGGTCACCAGTGCCTTTGCATTCGGAAATATGAAGGGACGCCCATATCAGGATGGTTTCGAGTTACTGCATTTACAGGAGTTTTCGCGGTGCCTGTGGGCTCTTCTTGTGCCCGCCCCCGGTCTCAGGAACCAAGGCAGAGGCTGAGTCACGGAGGAAGGGGCCAGAAAGGGGGCTTCTTGTGCTCGAGAGCCCCACCTTGGCGTCGGTTCCCGCCAGGCGCCTGGGGTTCCCGGGAGCTCAGGATCGTGAATGCGAAGTGTTTGGCCTTGAAAAGATGGTTCTAGGTCATTCAGCCTGATATTACAGCATCCCTGGCCCTATCTGCCCTTCGTCATCCACGTTGATTGAATGATTATTCTTTAAGGCTTAGTCCTAATATCTCCTCTGTACAAAGCCTGTCCCATTCTTCGAGATAAGTTATTAGATTACCTCTTAAGGAGTGCAGGCTCTGAAATTGCATCTGTGCCATTTGAAATGTGCTGTAATTTTTGAGCAAATAACTTCTTTGAGCCTCAGTTTTGCATCTCAAAATGGAGGCAGTACAAGTACTTAAAGGGTTTTGTGAAGATTGAATGAAGCTGTTAGAACCCACCTGCTTAATAATGGCGAGCACTGTTATTATCTGTCCTCCCAGTGTACTTTGTATAGGCCTTTTATAATGTTCGCCCTCTGTATTACCATTATTTGTTCTTATCTGCCCTATTGGACTCAGAGATTAAAAGCTGGAACGTGTTTGTTTATGTCAGCATATAACAGTGCTGGGGAAATGTTAATTTCTCAGAAAATGTTTTTAAAAAGCACAATTTCCTCCTTTTTTTCTCTTCCTTCACTTTTTTTTTTTAACTTTTAAAATGGCTTTTGGAGACAGGAATTTTCAGACTTGGAGAAGAAGCTGAGATGCCATTCCGAGGGAAGAATAAGCACTTCTTTGTTCTCCATAGTGACTAGGAAGGCCTTAACATTCCCCTTTCAGCTTGACTACACTTTAGACAGCTTGCCATAGGCCCAGACCTCCCTTTTTCTGAGAGAATTTACTTTAGAAACTTGCAATTGCAAATTATTTTTCTGCCCCTTTGAAATGTATAGAAATCTCCCTAAAAGCCTCTTGCGAGTTTGAAGACCCAGGGAATGTCTTTTCCAAGGATCTGGGAGCCACCCCTTTGAAGTATAATCCTCAAGGAAGATAGCCACCATGTTTCCTAGGCTCTGTGGGAGGGTAGGAGCCTAACTTTAGTGGGTATCTTGCTCCAAATTATGCTCTAAAGCAGGTAAGCTTACTTTTCCTTTGCGCAAGAGCAATTACTATCCACAAGTGGCCTAAGATTCCCCTACGGCAGCTCTTAAAAATTCTCCAGCCAACGTTTCAGCTGAGTTGAATTCAGTCTCCTTCCTATTGCAGTAGTCTTAAAGTCTTTCTTGCCTGCTTAACTTTGCCTTGGTGTAGTTTTTCTTTGAGCATGTATGTTTAGGTTCTGTGCTCATTGTTTCTTCTTGATTACAATGGTGTCTCTTTCTTCTTGCTGATTGAGAAGTGCTTCTCACATGTTCTCTGATAACTAGAAATTCACCAATTTGAACTTAAAAGAATAGAGCTTTGTGGAGTGAAGCTACTGCTTCAAGTCACTGCACTTGGTAGTGTGTGATATGCAGGATGTGGAAAGGGTGATACGTCTGTTTGACAGCATCCCAAGTGAGGTGCGTTCATCTTATGGAAGTAGCACCAGAAAACAAA